AAACATTCTAAATGTAAGGGGAAAAATAATTTAATTTATTCTGAAATGACATTTTCTAGCTTAATACATAGAAAATTACTTTTTTCTCAGATACCTTCTATTCACATCCATGCAGTTACACTACTTGAAGAGGAAGAGGATTTGCTACTCAGAATAGTTGCAGCAACACTTCTTCCCAGGATCTAAAGCATGAGAACCCCTGTAAAATCTACATAATGGCACTGCCCATGGCAGAATACTTAGGAGAAGTTATGCTGTCTCCCAGTACCATACTCCTATGGTCCTCAAATTGAGACACTTGCCAGTTAAGAATGAGGCAAAACAGTTGTTGAGTAGCTCAAATTCCTCCTCATTTGTTACCCATTCAACACTCTTGTTTGCTTTCTTTATTTGGCAGTATGTTTTCTTTAACTTTTATTTTCCGGCTGATATTCCTGCTCTCCCTATTATTCTTTTCATCCTTTGCCAAGATCAATTCCAGCTTCACCTTGGCCTTCCTGACTGGTCCTTACACAGCTGAGCAGCATTGCTATACTCTTCCCAGGACACCTGTCCCTGCTTTCACTACCTTTCCATTTCCTTCTTGCCCCGTATTTTGACCAGCAGGTTTTGATTCAGCCACACCCTTCTCCTTTCCTCTTACACCAAAGGATTGGTGCAACTTCCTCAAAGATCTGCCAGCTGGGTTCTGCTCCCTTGTCCCAGAGGGCAGTTTCTCAGGTGGGCCCATTGACTACACCTTTGATTGCTCTCACCATGTTGCAGGGATGGCAATTTGCTCCTGGCTTTCTAGCAGAGCAGTGGGAGGCAGCTCCTCTGGTTTGCCACCCATGCTGTGTGCATTGGTGTAAAGGCACCTCAGCTGGGAGGTCAGCTGTGTCTCATTCATAAAGGAACACCCTGAAGAAAGTAGGATAGACACCTTTAATAACCTCTGTACACAATGAAAGGAAAGAGGTACTTTTCCATTCAACTTTATCCTTCTTGATTTAGACAGCTGCTTTAAAAACTGGTGATTAGGTCCCTAAAGTTCTTATTTCTTCCCAGTGGTTATGAATAAAGGCATCTGAAGTTGATCAGAATAATAGCAATCCAGGAAAACATTTACCTGCACAGGGAAGAGTAGAAATCAGGATCATAACTGGATAGAAAGTAAACTCAGTATTTCAAATGCAGACAGCAGTGAGTATTTAGCTGCTCATAGGTCAGTGCAAAGCAAGTACTGTCCCAAATAAAGTGACAACTTAAAAAAGAACAAAACACAACCCCCCAAACATTAAGAATGAGAAGAAATTGCTAAATTACTGTTATTTGACCACTGTTATTGGATGTCTAGCAAAGGTAGGCAGTGAAGATGCCATTAACTCATTTAAATCTCCTGGTGATTCATATCAGAGTTCCAGGAGGAAAAGCATAGATTCAGCAGTTTTTGACTGAGTCTTAGACAGAACAACCAATGGGACTCCCAGCAGTTCTACAAGTAAATCTTTCCATGACAATGAACATTATTTTGTAGTCTTCTAATACTCTCTGTGGGTGTATATAAAAAAAGGAATGGTTTATTTTGAAATATGGAAATGTCCACCAACAAGTGTGCAAAAAACTTAGAAAGAATAGAAAATTAGTCTAAAAAAGAAATATAACTGCATAACAATTATATTTGTAGCAGATGAAGGAGAGAACACAAGAAAGCTATTAAATAAATAATATTTTATTATATGTGCCTGTATTTGCATGCCCATTTAAGTACCTAATTATGTGAAAAATTCAACTGCTGTGTAAAGAAATGTTAATTTTCAAGCACACCTACTAAGCTTAGGGTTGTCATTCAGATATCTGCTCAATTGCTTGCTCTTGTACCCCACCTGCAGAAAATATCTGTGTGCTTGTCAGAAGTCTGGCACAGGTTATTAGTGAAGAAACCAGGGCTTTGCAGGTTCAGCAGGCAGTTCCATGATCTATCCAACATAGCTGACAAATTTCATTATGACTCCTAACTAGAGCTCTGGCAGTGCAGCTTTGTTTTGTTTTGCTGAGGGGATGTGCAGGGAGAGCCCTTTCTCTCCTCAGACTGTAGAGCTTTGGATTTCTTGGATTTCAGCTCCAGTTGATGAGTTCTCAGCTATGCTTACCTACATTTCTTTTTTTTTTTTCTCTACTTCTCTGACACTTGCTGCATGCCATTAGAGAGCAAAAAATACTGCTGGAACTCCTATTCTTAGTGTTGGTCCATTTGCTTTTTTGATTATCATCCTAACTGTCAAAGGAACGAAATGGCATTGCTTTGCAGTACTGCTCTCCATAGTTCTCAGTTTCACACTGTTCTTTGTTTCCTTGACAGGTAGAAACTGTTTCTGTTTTTCCTCATGAATGCTTTATGTGTGATGCTGAACAGCTCATGGTGACAGCTAAAACATTGCAAGCTGCCCTAAAGGGCATTTCTCAAATGTGTTTCTTTGCCCTTTCTTCACATTGGACATGTTAATAAGGCTCAAGACTACCTATGTTTTTCTGTGGAGAATAGGATCTTTACAGCTTTAATATCTCTATACTCATGTAAATATTACCTAGGTGACAGAACATTTGGATTTTTTGGGGAAGTTTCTTTGATTTCTTTTTTCAGCTTTGGCTTTAGTGTATTATTTGAAAAGCTTTTTTTTCTTGAACCAAAAGTAACATTGTCCCACATATTCATCCATTTGACTTTAAATTGCAGACAGTGAGGTGGAGGGAATGGGGTGCTATGTGACTGACCTGGCAGGGGACAAATGAACAGTGAGAGAGGGCACGTAAAGGGACAGGTAAAAGCTAAACATATAGGGAGCAACCATTTATTTCCAAGAAGGTGAAGTCTAAGAGCTTTAAAGAGGACTTTGCAGCTGTCCTGTTTTAGAGTCTAGTTCACTGAAGTACTGGATGTTGGGGCTGATATAAACTTTACAGAGAAACATACAGATTTGACAGACTGTAGATAGTTCTGATGAAATGATTAAGCTTTCATCAGGCACTAGGCAGCATGATGATTCTTGCTGGTTGGTGGTGCACCAGTTGCTTGAGCAACTTCCTGGCTTTCTCATCCCCATCCAACAGAGAGTGTCTGTGCAAAACCATCAGGATGGCTAAGAGACAGAAACCCATCTAAAGCTTCCTGAGCAGATGATTTGTGCACAGCCCAGCTCTCCCTGTCTCCAGATCAGTGCTCAAAGGCATTTGTCTTGGGGTCCAAAAGGCTGAGAGCAAACAAAAAACTTCTGCTCTTAGTCTCCCAGCATTTATTTTCTCTCACGGATGTTATCTGACTTTTTAAAAAATCCCATACTTGAAGAACAGCTGATGTGACAGTGGTGAGAGATGCTCACTACAGCTTTCCAGCACTCTTCACAGAAAGAAATTACAGACCTTGTATGGCCTGTTTCCACCAAATTTTTTCCATGCCTCTCTGTCATATTACGTCTTTGCCACTAACTGGATTCTTTCATCTTAGCTGGACAAAAAAGAACCTGTCGTCTCTTTAGATGGTGGTTTTCATCCATTTGCTTTGTCATAATCTATTGGCAAAAGCTAGACTTCTCTCCAGAAAGCAGTTCTCTCATGCATTTATAATTTTCTTGACCTCTACAAGCTGAAGACTCTTTGCCTTCAGCCCTGTTTTCTCAGAAGCAGGTGCATGTTGGCCAGTGTACAGCTCTGTGCTGTGGAGAGACTGCTCCCCATCCCTGAGCTGCAGAAATCAGTATTTGCTTTTACCATGCTTGCTCAGCCTTCAATTTCTCCTACGGATGCATATTGACCTTCTGGGCCTGCTGCAGTGAGACAACAGCATGAGATGATGGCAGTGATTTGGATGTTGATCTTTAGGTGCTGGTGGACAGTCAAGTAGGCATAGATGCTGAAAGATGAGCAGCAGTCTAAAAATGACTGAGATATCAAAACCTTTCTTCAAATGTACTTTGCAAAAACAGCTCCATGGAAAATTTATCATTGTGTGGTGTTGATACAGTAGCTCTAAATTACACAGATGAGTGTAGCCACCTGTGGACCCAGGGGCAAACAAATGCAGCAGTTTAGTTTCAGCCCTGGTCCTCAAAGCTTCCAGTCTGGGCATCTGGCTGAATACACCAGAGCTCCCTCCCCACTTAAAAACATTTTTTCCCCAAACACTGGAGAAGTGGGGAAGGGGAAAGGCATTTGTGCCATGCATCATGGAAGCATGGATCTGAACTGGGAAGTTGTAAGGTTAGACGTGACTTGCTGGCTACTAGAGAGCACAGTGAGCTCAGAGAATCTGTTTCTGCAGAGGATGCTGTTGACACTTTCTAGTTTATGTCTTCCCCTTTTGTTTTCCTTATGTTATCAGTAGTGCAAAATCAGGCAATAAAAACTATAATAAAGGCAAAGAATTTTTCTCTCTCCAACAGCAATTATCTGGATTATAGATGTGTGAGGTGATTAAAAAAATTGTGAAAATAACTATAAAAGATTTTCTTGATCAAATATTTCAGACAGTGGTTCTCTCCTTGGAGAACACAATACAGCCTTAAAAAGGTACAAAACCAACAGATAAGCCCCCACACATCTGTGTATATATGTCCAAGTAAAGAACTATAAAATATATTACTCATTGGAGCTCAGAATATTCCAGAATATGCCTGCAGATTACATTTCAACAGGATGAATTAAATAGGAACATGTTGACCTCATTAAATGGATTCTAGTTTTGTGTCTGTATTTGTACACAACAGAACATTTTTGTATTCACCAAAAACCAAAAAAGCTGTCATTCATACATAGGCATTATCAGATAAATAGCAGAGAGCAAATTATGCTGTTTTGTTAAGCAAAAATAGCATTTCAACCTCTTCTCACTATTATAGTATTTTAGGTATACTTTTATTCTCCATTTACATACCAACTTCATGAAAAGTGAATAAATTGAGTAAGAAGAACTGTATCTGGTGTGTACATCTCTAATCCCTTCTGTTTATATTCTTCTCATGCAGAGATTGAAAGATTTAAAACAAAGGGAATTTGCTCGAAATGTGGCTTCGAAGTCATGGAAAGATGAGAAGAAACAGGAAAAAGCACTCAAGCGACTCCACCAGCTTGCAGAGTTACGGAAGCAGTCAGAATGGCAAGTTTTTAAAAATCATTTGGGGTTTTAATGCCCTCTTTCCTCCCTTCCAGAAGAAATTATAATAATTTTACTCCTACACAAGTAATATACAGAGATTGTGTGTACTGTAACCTGTTTTCAGCTGTCTTCAACTCCAAATGATCCTGTTCTGCAAACCATACATTGAAAACCTCTGCCTTAATTACATGCTGTTTGAAAGTTTGTCGTGTTCTCTCATGTAGATATTCTCATGCCTTCTAAATGGAGTGCTTTGAAGACGCTTTTATAATATCACCATTTTACCTTATCCAAACTGATCTGAAGAGATTAGTGTGACTGTCTTAACATTTGATTGTAAGTTAATGGGAGAGGATAAACGCTTTGTGAAAAATTTTTACTGCTTTTAAGGTACTGGGATTATTCTCCAGTTTCTCTGTAGGATAATTTGAATGAAAAACAATTAATTAACTGAATTAAGTTGGTCTAATACTGTTAGCTCTATTGATTAATATCAAGATAGAGGACAAAGATCATAGTAGTAAACCTTTAAATTTGAGAAATCTCCTTTGTTTAATGACACTAAATGCTTCAATAGAATAGATTGCCATCAGACCAATTGTTTATATTAATCTATGACCACAATGAGTTAATCAGATAAATAAACTGACATTGTTTTAAATTCATCTGAAGACTACTGTACCCTGGAAATAAAAGCATTCAGAGTTTATTACAAACTCATTTTGGCCTATGTAATTGCTTTTGAGCAATCTGCTGAAATATAACAGTTTAGTGCTAATATATCCCTTTTATGCTTACAACTCCATTTTCATACAAATCTGCTGAAACAAATGCAACTGCCTGTGGGAAGCTTCCTTTATGCCCACATACTTGAAGATGTACCCTCAGATAGAGCAATAATACCAGTGATAACAGGAAAGGCAGAACGAATCTGGGAGGGAAAGAGCAGGTTTGCTTTTAGAAAGAGCCAGGAGTCCATAATATTTTGCATAGAGTGTGAAAGGGAAGAGCTTGCTATTCCTCCCTGTGATCACTAATAGGCTCAGGGGAGGCTGAATGCCAGGATTTTGGCAGAGGGGCAGCACTCCCAATTGCTCAGGAAAGACAGAATGTCAGCCTTTGTGAGCAGAAGTCCACACACATACAATTGTTACCGTCCCTGAGTACTGTCTCAGGTTCCAACACAGTTCCTTAAAACGAGCTAATTCAATTTGACAACAAAATTATTGTTAATCTTGGGCACAGAAAAAATTTATTTTGCTATTCCAAGAAGACTTTGAAAAGGATTTCTTTATGTTTCTTTATGCCTTCTCCAAGAGAAAATTGTTCTTCATGTACAAATAGGGGTCAATTTGTATCTCCTGATGCTGAATTTCTGGCAAAGGCAAATATATTCTCTGAAACGCACACATATTCTCACATTATGGGTTGACCCTACTCCAGGGAGTCTTTATGTCTTTCCCTTTGTTGAAGATCAATGTATTTTTATAGCATTTATAAAGCATGACTGCCAATAATAGATAGCCTATATGCAGATCTAACAGTTTTAATTTATTTACATTTAATTTAAATGGTTTATATTTTTTTATCAAACTTTTAATTTAATCTGGTTCTATTTTTTTTTCTTAGTGTACTGTGGTACCACAGTGATAACAAATGTAGATAATTAGTCTAATGAAACGTGTGTTTAAAATATGTCTTAGAAAAACAGTTTATGGTGGCCAGATATATATCACATCTTTAATGGAAAATAGCTACAGTCATTTCAGTATCAGTTAATTATCTGTTTCAAGAAATCAGTGGTTTGCCTTTTTTGCTAAGGCCCTAGAATAGGTAACTTTTTTCTTTAATTACAAGAAAACGAAATAATATTTAAAATCTGAGATATTTTGAAGATAGGAATAATGTAATTAATGGAAGTAAAACACAGTAAATGTAACAAAGTAATTCAAATCATGGTTGATTTGAGAGACCAGGGAAGCTGTGATTTTCTTCACCCCCAATGTTTGCTGACAGTTTTAGTATTAATTTCTCTGAATATTTTGCATAGTCATTTATTGTGGAATAAAATAAGAATCTACTCTTTAAAAAGTGAAATACATTTTTCCCATAGCAAGCAGAATATTTTTCTTTCTCTTCTAGAGTTTGATTTTGCAGATGCTCCAAGTGGAAGCATCTCTTTTTGAACATAGCACAATTTCCTCTGCAGAGGCCTTTCAGAAAAGCAAGACTTACCACAGATTAGGTTAACCTAAATATAAATTTGGAGTAAAACCAATATTTGTTCTGCTTGTACATGGGCGTAACTGAAAAAGAAAATTAATGTGCTGACATTAAAACATTTAATTGTCTATATGTAGAGACTGTCTTACCCATACAAAATTCCAAACTGATGATAAACTGCACATTTGTTGAAACTTAGCTTTACCTTGTAAAAAATTGAGTGACACCCTCCTTCACCAGACAGACACTGTAAAATGCAAGCTCTGTCATAATTTGGTTACTCAATGCAGCTTTCTTTTTTCCTTTATTTCTTACCCTAAAGCATCACTGGGAGTGGACCATTGCTTAAAGCCCCCCGATTAGTCCTGGAAAAGCAGCAATCTCCAGATGGCATTTTCCTGTACAAGGGCAGCAAGTTTGCAGCAAGTTCTCAAAGAACCACTACAAGTGAAGGACAAGGCTTCTCCAAAAGCATGCTAGAGAAACAGCAACTTATAATAAGCAGGCACCACCCTGCAACTGAAAGACACCATGCACTTGGAAACCACGTCTCACAAAAGTTCCCATACAGCAGCAATACCTCTCAAAGGGCAGGAGTGTCTTTTTCATTCTCTAAAAAGGTCCCTTTGAAGCTTGAGTCCTCAGCATCAGTCTTCAGTGAGAACTGTGAAGAAGGAAATGATTATAGTGAGTCCCCCAACCATAAAAGAAAGCAAACCATTGAGGGCTGTCATTCTCTCACACTTTTGGAGGAACAACTGAAAGCAAGTTTGGATAAAGAGTCACCTATTGCACAAGACCAAATGGATTTGGATAACAGTGCATCAAGTCATGTAGGTGTAAAACCTAAAATGCTAAAGGAAAATGATAAAAATAGTGATAGGGAATCAGAAGAAAAATTCAGAGCTAATCCATCATTTTCTAAAGTCAAAATACCTCTTCCAAATTTGAATTTTTCTGCTTCACTGAGAGAAACAGAGCAAGAGAGCAAACTGAATGAATCTGAGCAATTCTTAGAAACTCCCATCTCATCTTCATGCCAAGCTAGCAATTTTTGTACACAGCTGAACACCTACAAGCACAGTAATGCTCACCTGCATGCCCAGTTATCTGGGCTCCCTCGACAGCCAGAACCTGAGCTGACCTGTTCAAGCAACATTAATGACAGTCCTGGAGTGATAAAAAGAGAAAGATCTTTGGAGATTACAGAAATCACAGATGGAAATATGAAAACACTTGAAAAGGAGACCTTGGTTAAAGAAGTTAAGCCCCAGGCATTGCCCTTCCTTCATGTGGTGAGCAAAGATGGCACCACTGCTCTGCAGTGGCCCACAGAATTACTTTTGTTTACAAAAACTGAGCCCTGTATTTCATATGGCTGTAATCCATTGTATTTTGACTTCAGACTCTCTTTAAATCACAGGGAGGGTAAACAGCATGAAACAAACAAAGCAAGCTGTAAAGAGCTCTCTAAAAATAAGACTGCAGATGAATATGAACCCTCAGGTTTAATAAAACACAAGCAAATGTCAAATGAACAAGATAATCAGTTGTTGAAACCAAAGAAGATGAAAGGTTCCCTAAATCCAAGAAAGGCCAAGCAAAAAGCTGAGTCAGACATAGGGAAAGAAATGAATGAAAGAGGTCAAAAATGCATTGCAGATTATTTGAATGAAAATATACCCAAAGTGCCTGCTTACCTTGATGTCTCACAAAAAAATTATGTGACAGAAAAAAGTCTTTATACAACATCACTGAGGAGACCTTTGAAGCATCATTTCCATGGCTGTGAAAGAAAAACTCAGAACATTAGAAATGAAAGCATTTCCTTTTCTGCTTTTATGTCTAGGATTAAAAACTCTAACTCTGAAAAATGTCATTTAATTGATTCTGAAGAAAAATATGAGAACCAAAATGATTCCAGATCCCTTCAAGATGTGGTCAGCTGCAGTAGTGACATAAGTGACAGTGGAAAAGACTCTAGTGGAAGTTTCTTTAGTTGTAAATCCAGTTCAAACAGCAAGTATTCAGATACTGAAGGATGTGGAAGTTATAGAAGATGCTGGAGATTCCCATCTCCTCAAAAGTCCTCGTCTGGCAGACATTCCAGCTATTCTGACTCTTCAGTTAGCAGTACGAGTAGCTACATGAGTCCCACATCAAATACTCACAGAAGAAATAATTTTCTTTGTTGTTGTAAAAGAAAAAACAAGATAGATAAAAGGCACAAACACAGAAAGCACAAGTGTATTTTCACTTCAGATGATACAGACGAGGATTATCTTTGTCATAGTAGAAGTCACAGAGCTAGAAACTGTATTCAGAGTGGCACAATTAAATATCAGAGATGTTCAAGACATAAACTTTTACAAATCAGAGACAGGTCTAAACACAGCAGATGTAGACATCAGCATTTTGGCAAAGTGCTTAGTAGGAGTAGGAGCTGCCACAAATCCAAAAGTGGTTCCACTAGTGATTCAAGAAGCAGTGAAAGATCATCTAGCAGCAGAATATCAAGATGCAGCAGTTCAGGTTCTGTCTCAAAAGAGACTGACAACTGTGACAACAAAACAAAAGAGGATTCTGAGAGAGGTTCTAACACCGAACCAGGAAAAGCTGAAACTGCACATTCCAGCTCTCTGAAAGTGAATAGTCAATCTAAAAACTTTGCCACCTGCTCTTCCAAAAACCTGGCAAAAGACATATGTGGAAAAAGAAAGTCAATGACAGCCAAGTTACTTTTAGAAAGAGTGCAATCTAAGAAAACCCAGGAACAAACGCATGATCCAGAGAGATTTTCAATCAGTAGTGGGATAGAATTAAAGGATCACTCACAAAGTCACTTTGCTCTTCAGTTTTCATCATCAGTAGATGACATTGCAATGTTACCTTTGCCAGAGAAAGTGCTAAGCAAAGGTAAAAATGACATAAGACATAATGAAATCAGTTCGCTGGAAAACAGTGTGAAGAAAAACAACACTGAAGCATCAGAGATAACAAATGTTACTCTTTCACCTGGAACTGATTATGATCATTGTGTTCTTAAAGACATAATTCAAATTGAAACAGGCTATCAGAGCCCAAGCATAAAAAGGAACACAGCAATAAAGGAACAAACCAGTCTCTTCTTTAGTGAAGTGCAGCCCTTTATACAAAGCTGTGATCCAGTACCAAATGATTTCCCTGGTGCTTTTCCCTCTAATAGATATTCTGTTGCTAATTCAACAGAGACCAAAGAAGAACTACATGATGTAAACATGGACTTGAACCGGGCAGAAGGCAGTTCAGACTCTTTTTGTGACAATGCTATGCAGAAGTATGGTGATACACTAAATGACCTAGAAGTGTACAGTAAATCCGTCTCCCCTCCTTTAACACAGCAGCCTGTCACATTTACACCAGAAGAAGTAGACAAATACAGGTTGCTGCAGCTGCAAGCCCGGCAGCACATGCAGAAACAACTTCTGGCAAAACATCTGAAAGTTTTGCCTGCCCCAGGACCAGCTGCCTTCTCTGCAACACCAGCAGTTCCTGCCCTCCCTGTCCAGCAGCAGGCTACTGTCACCACCATCCACCACACGCTGCTGCAGCGCTTTGCTGTCTCGGCATCTGTGCACCCCCACGGCAGCCATCTCTCCCTGGCACCCCTCCACCCCCTCTCTCAGGCACATTTTGCCCCCATATCACTTTCCCCTTTAGCACCAGCCCTTATTCCCACCCACCCTGCTTTGCTGACAGGGCACCCACTGCACTTGGTGTCTGCCACTCCCCTCCACCCTTCCCCACTGACCTTCCCCGCACTGCCTCATGCTGCATATATCCCAGCCTTATTTACACCACACCTGAACACAGCCACACCTTCTGCTATACACCCAAATCACTTAGTTCATCCCTTATTCCAAGGACAAGAGCCCCATCACTATTCTTGTTCTATCCAGACCCAACATTTACCTACAGCAAAAGAAGTTTTCAGTGTTTCTAGCTACTTAAACTAGCCCAAATGATTTCATCATGGCTCCAACCCCAAATTAAAATAAAATAAAGCATTCAGCATTCAATCACCTCTGAGGGGAAATCTACTGTTTTGCTGAGAACACAACAGCAAAGATTTTAAAGTCCACAATCTGGCTGACAGCATATGAATGTTGATTTTATTCTTGTATCACTGAGGAAAAGCTGCTTCAAAGCCTTTCGTGATACTATCACAAGAAGGATGTGTGGCCAGTGTCATTCTACAGAATGTTTTAAAGAATAGCTTGAAGTGAAGTCTATAGGAAAGGGAAGTCAGTAGGAAAGGGACCACAGCACCCAGACAAAATGGGATCAATATCAACACTGATGAGGGATCTAAAGTAGCACAATTTGAGGCTGAGTAATCTTGACACACCTCAAAGATTTGATTTTCTGAGTTTGTATATGAAACAGTGTCTGGTTTGGTTAAGGTATTTTGGACTGAGTTAAAAATAAGGTATCTGGGACCAGCAGACCCTGGGGCTGTCTCCTGTCTCCCAAAGTAAACTGGGGAGGCTCAGAGGGAGGGGTGATGAGTGAGCACGAAAAGGTGAGGATAATCTTGAAGATACTTTAGTGATTTCATCCCTGCATACGTTGCTTGGACAGTGTGAAGGAGCTGAGTCAGGTGATGGGTACATAAGAAAGCATTCCCTTAGCAGAGGGAGCTCTGTGCTGGCACAAGCAGGCTGCCTCTTCTCTCTGAGCCAAGCATCCAAGAAGGCTCACTGAGAAGCCAAGCTTTTGGCACTGCCTGGGCATGACTGTGTCACAGGGCATGTCAGGGTGAGCCACACCAGCCCAGAATTGCCAAGCAGCCAGTGCTGGCTTTGAACCTCAGAGGTACTTGGCCAAAGGTTCCCACCAAACAGAGCTCTGATGTGCGGAAGAGTCTTTTCCAAAGAATGTGTCAATATTTTTCATCCCTTTCACAAACAACAGAAACAATTGGCTGGTCCCATAAAATCATGCATATATTCATAAAGATGCAGAAGTAAAATTCTGATCAAAAACTGGCTCTACAGGTTAAGACTCGGAGAAAAACTTGTTCAAGTACTCAGCATATAAAAGTTTGTTGAATCTAAACAAATATGTCAAGATTCTCGCATGGCTTCCCAAACTCTCAACAAATAAATTGAAATTACAAATCAACAGGGTTTGAATGCATGTATCCAACCTTCAGAGTAATGTGTGGCTGAAATTGTTTGTAATAACTGTGTATCTGGAAATAGATGAAGGCTACAGCATCTCTTTGAATGCCATAGTTTGACATTGTTTATAATGTTTTCAACTGAACACAGGATATTTAGCATGAAATTAGTTCATAATTATGGTTACACTGCAAGCATGCTTCCCCAATAAAATTGGACCATGAAGCATCCAACACACAGTACCTGTTTGTTTGGATTAAAAACATTTGAAATAATTTCAATTCATTTGCAATAAGTGCACAAATAGGAATCTTTCAGAATCAATATAAAACACATTGAAAAACTTTTGGGAGAATTTTAATCCATTATATTCAGCTACCTGAGGAAGCTGAAAACTCTAATTGCAAATAAGTTGTGTCTTTAAAATACAACAGAACCAATTTTCTTAGTTTTAATCAAAATGCATTGATCCATTACAAAAAAAATTGAATTATTTAATTTCTCTCTTTCTGGAGCTTCTTCAGCATAAACTGGTAATATGCCAAGCTTTTTGAGTTACTTTACAAGTTTTGACTGCTAGTTTTGTATTTCCAAGTAGCTTTAAATATTTGATGGTTTAGCTATTGAAAAAAAAAACAGAAAAAAATTATTGAGACTATGCAGAAGCAAAATATTTTGGTGTCAAAAAAGGTTTGTAGCACCAGCACCCTCAAGCATATTGTGGTTTGATTCCCAAATTATTTTTTAGTCTCATTAACAAAATGGATTCATGCCATTTGGTGTTACTTATCTGTATGTAAGTAGCAATACAAATTATATTTATTTTTCTCATTTAAATTGCAGAGTAATTCTTTAATTGAAATTATTGCTTCAGAATTAAGGAAGTAAAAAATTTTATTTGGGAAGAATGTAGAACTAAATGTTTTCAGAATTTAACAATTCTTTCTTTCAATTTTGGCTGAAAATTTTCCCAAAATAAGACTTGAATTTACATATATTTTCTGTACTTCCAATACTTTATTTTCTGAGAATCAAACATATTTCACTTACTCTGACTTAACACCTCTGAAAATTATGACTTGCTTGGATGGAGGTCACTCACTGAGTGGACCACTTGGACACATTAGTCATAACTCTGTAGAAACATTCTGAATTGGACATCTAAAGTAGCAGGTCAAGCTGTGCCCAGGAGGGGCTGACTGAGCTGTGTGGCCATCACCTGCAGTCCGGGGATAATTCCAGCATAAAAGGTAGGGCATTTCCAGCCCCACAAGCTTTTAAATCTGTGGGTCCAGTTTCATCTCTGTTGAAGTAAACCCAGCTGTTCTCATTGTGTTCATAAGAGTTCATTTGTACCCTAGGTAGATAACACCAAAAGAAAAATATGGAACTGAAGGAATGTTGGGCTAATCTCCTCTTTAATGTGTGTACACATATTTTGTGTTCCCACTTCTACCAAAAAATGTTAATACTATAAAAATTTCTGTGGCAAGAAACCTGACCAAATCAAACTTGACCATATCCTACTACATAGATCATTTATAGAAAATAGAAGTATTTGTTTCCCTTAATGTATGCACCATACAATGGGACTCTAGAATAAATGAAATCATAGGATTCCCATGCATCATTGTACATACCAACATGGTAGGGCAAATAAATTGACAGTGAAGATTAATTTTAATTCTTGGAACAATGGGAATTAGAATTTTGAGATGTATTAATGGGGAGAAAAAGAAAGATTAGGAACAGAAAGAGCACAACAGAAAATCAGTAATCACTGATTACCAAACACAGGCAATGCCCAATATGGTTCTTAGTGCACAGAAGGGATTTTCTTGGAGAAACATAATAAAGCTATTGGCACAGCTGAAATTATATCTTTTTTTCTAATTGCTGCCATATTTTTTTCATCAGTAATGTACTTTAAATATGTCTAATTATAATTATTAAAAGCATTATTGAGCCTGATGTATGGAGCCATGCTACAATTTTGATTCTATTTAAAGATATTTTAAAAAGAGTTATAGTATCCTTATGGCAGTGATATATACACACCAAGTTAATAATCTATTTTAGCTTGATTGTATATTCTTGATACATAATCTAAAGAAAGAGGTCACCCACACCTTAAAATTCCAATTAAAAAAGTTTCCTAAGTCACACCATGATAAACTTTTTTGTTGTTGTTTTGGGATTTTTTTTTATCTGATGCATTTCTGGAATGCATTCAACATGTATATTTGTTGTGCAGCTTTGCATAAAAATGCCATTTGATCAGATTGATTTTAAAAGTGTCAAGTTTATATTTAAAACTGGATAATACTCTGGCTAGTATAATATGTAAACTAGTAATTTTGTTTTGTATTCTCTGTATAAAGTGTTTTATATTATACAGTAGCTAAGTGAATTGCACTATTGTACATGCAATGAGACTTTTGTTTTAGCTTATTCAAGGAATCCCTGGGAATGTAGTTTAATGCAATAATATTTTTTTTCAATAAAAAGGCTTACTGGTATAAAGAGTGTCAGTCATGTATTTTTAATGTAAAGCATACCAAAAGGCAGCAACCTAATAAAATGCAGAATGATGCAAACATATTCTGTATTTTAATTTCCAGAACTGAAATACGTTTAATTCATTACTGTGGTTATAATCCTGAAATTTCATAGAATGTTTCCTAAAGATTTTAGTATGTGTTACAAAAGTGGGTTGTTTAAATGGAACTGAAAATAAATATTCCTTACAAAAATTATTCTATCTATGTGTTTTTTCCAAGGACTTTTAATAAATAAGTATCCTCCTGAGTATTTTTATGCACTGATCAGTTTATTTATAATTAGACATACAACTCATCTGTCAGGTTCCCCAAATAATTATATAGCATACAAATGTGTCATTTATTCACTCTTCAATCATTCTTTAAATCTTCAAACAGTTATAATAAGCATCACTTTATCCCATGTTTTCCCTATTACCCTGAATTTTTCCAGTTTGTTTGTTGCATCCTTTTCCATCTAACTTTCATTTAACTTGTTTTCTGACACAAGGCTTTTGGTTGTGCAGGTACTCAGCTTCAGGGCTCCCAGAACTGCTGGACTATTTGCAAGGCTACTTATACCCCTCAGTGTATAGTTTCATATGTGTCCCATCTCCAGGTGAGCACAAAAACTGAAGGAAGGTAAAAACCAGGTGTCTGCATGTCTGTAGTAGATGAAACTCTATCTTTTGAGGTGAGATGTGACAGAGGTTATATTCTGTCCAGCCTATCTGCATAGCTGGAAATACCTTGGCCAATCCCTGGGACCAAACTAATCTACCTTGCAGTGACATCTCATGACTTGGGCATTCTATAAAGTCTTGAAACCAATGCAAATCCACGGAGACATAATTGACACAGTGTATCTAATTCCATTCAATTGTGGTTTTCCTTCTAGTTATTTCATAATAAAAACAAAATTCATAATTAGACATATAAAGAGTTTGTATGTCTGAAGGAAATCCCCTGCAAATTAATATCTATGACATTACTGTTAACTCAAATAGGCTTCCAGTTGAGATCAGATCCCACCTGTTTGTTGCTGAGCAAAACTTGGTATAAGCAGGGGAAAAAACAAAAACAAAAACAAAAACAAATCACCCACCTTGCTTTCACTGGGATATAATATGTGAATAAATGAAGATGTCCACACCTTACTATTCCTGATAAAGCTAACTATAATGCCAGCAAAATCCTTCCTACACTCTGGTGGGAAGCGTATTATCTTATTTTGCAAACTAAGTATCTTCATATGTATTTTATACAGAAATATAAAGAATCACCATGAGTGCA